CCTCGTATCGTCATCCTCGTATCGCACGTAGGAAAAAGATGAGTCATAGGAACTAAACTACAGCTATGATAACTAAGATATGCTGTCGAAATCGGGACAGCTGACACACTGTCAAAGTTAAAATTAATAGTCTTATTTATATTAGTCTTTTATCCAATTTCATGAAGAGTTCTACCCGCAGAAGAGCGTTGGTACGCGTCAAGCATGTTTTATATGTCTTACACAGGATGTTTGGATTTGGGTGCTCGTATACAGGTAGAACTTGTTAGATTGGATAGAGAAATTCTGTATTATATTTTATATAGCGTTTGAGATATTAACGAAAGACAATTGGTCAATGCACGCGCGATGCGGCAGAACGAGTTCTATGAGGTTAATTCCTTAATGCTCGAGTTCACACGCGTAATACCCAGAAGTGGTTGTCGCTTTCTTAGCTGCTTGAATAAATGCATTTTTCAGCTAATAAATTTGTTCTCCACAACGAATGTATCTTACCTGTGATAGCCAATTCTTGGTAATGACGGTGAAACGATTACTCTTTTAGCCAAGTTCAAATTAGTCACTGAGACTTAGCTAATGTTATTTCCTTGCGTGTGCGCTCGATATCGAGTCGTTAGGAAATTCATGATGCTCGTGAGACGTACGAAGACCCTTTGCGCGAAAAGCGATGTTTTAATCTTCTCACCGCTCCCCGGCAGCGTTTCGACGATATTTCGCGACCAGTGGCCCTCTACGGAATAACGGAAGGTGGTAGAGAGAGGTTCGCTTATAGGGCGAACGCGGTCGGTTCTGGTCGCCGGGTGGTTTTGGAATCCGCGCCACGAGTCGGTGGTTTTGCGGTGCGGCGAAAACCGCCGACCCTCGAAGCTCTTCTCTCGGCCGTTCTCCCTGTTTGCGTCGTCCTTCCGCGTAATCCTCTATGGCTTAGCGAGTTTCTCACGAGAGAGAGAAAGAGAGAGGGAGGAAGGGAGTGAGAGCTTCCAAGTAAAGTGGACGCGCGGCCATCGGCTCTCGAGACTCCGCCGTCTCTTTGATTAGCGCGGAATATCGGGCGCCTCGAGTGATACAACTCTCGCGGCGGCTCCCTGGCTTCTCCTTCTCAAACGTTAAGTCGCAGCAAATTCGATCGGACAAATTCCCCCGACGCGCTTTCCTGTCCCTCTCGCCAAACGAATCGAACGATGAGGTGAGATCACTGACAAATTCAATGACACTTATACACAGAGAAAATATTGCGGTACTAAAAAATTACAGCAAAAATTGTTGCATTCTTGGACCATAGAGAATTTTACAACTGGAATATATTTGTTTCAAAATGTTTTGCACATTTTCATCGCGAAATTATTGTAATTGCTTGAATGTTTTTTTTTTATTATATATCGAATGGATCGACATTTCCGCTATTTTCATAGTAATTTCGATTCTAGTATAGTCCAGTTCTGAACAAGAGATGTTGCAAGAAGAAACATAGTTTTAACTACTATTTTCTCCGTGTTAGTCACACATATTAAAATTGCACAATATTTACCGAGCCCGGACGAGACGTCACGGAGAAATTCGAGAGCACATCGAAATTCTCGGTCGTGTGGTAGTCGCGCAGTGGGTAGAAAACACGAGTTGTCTACGCGATGTCCGGGCGTGTCGTCACTTCCGCTCCGGGCACGTCTGCTAATGCAGCGCCTGCAACAACGGCCGCTCAGTCTCGTACCTCGAGATGAGCAAATGTTCTTGGCACTTGAGCGCGCGTGCCTCGTGTTTGGTTACGGACTTGATCACAAGCGGGGGACACCGTAGAGAGCAGTTAACCTGTCCGATAATACGCGCCGATAATCAGGCATCTAGTGGACGTTGGCGGGGATCGATGGAGCTAACGTAATTAGACGTGGCGATACGCGCCACTTAAGCGCACTTGAGTGGCTGGAAACGCAACCGATTGGTCCTGTTGCCGTTAGCCGAACGTAAACGTGGCGCGCGGTCTCGACTCGTCGTCTCTCCTCTCTCTCTTTCTCTCGCTTTCTCACCCTCTGTCGACGACGAAGACAGTGTTGACCGTAAACGACCACGTCGTCGCCGTCGGCTTTAACGAACGTCCATTCGAAGGGAGGACGGGAAGCCGGAGGAAATGGAGGAGGAGAAGATGGAGGACGGAGAAGAGGCCGCACAGCACCGCACGCTCCATTGAGTCGTCGGCGGTAATGTACCGCGATGCGGTTAATTCGGTATCTCGCGCGACGTATTAAATGTCGCCCGAGACTCGAAAACCAATAAAAGCGCGATCGTAGCGCGCGATCGTTGCGCTTTAATGCCAATTCTTGTTCGTCGTTATCCGACCGCCCGGCTATCGCTTTCACGGTGGTTGTGTCGGCGATAACGTGCTATTTGAATACCGCCGACGCGCGAGCGAATGAGCGAGCGAGCGCGCTGTTCCGATGGCTCTCGATCGCGCGGAATAAAAAGCGCGGCGGGAAAGAGGGAACGGAATGATGCGAGAGAGGAGGCTATCGGATAATTAAATCGGCTGCGGCACGTAAAGGACACTGATTGACATGCACGACGGCTACGTTCTCTCATTATTATTCGTCGAAACGACATAATTCGCGCTTCGCTTTTCGACGGACGCTAAACCGCATCGCCACCGGTTGGTGTGCGTCGCGTCGCCTCGCGTCGTCGTTGCGCGCGGAAATCCATCATCGCTGCGCTTGTCCTCTCGTCGTTCAATCGCGCGCGCACGTGAAATTTCGGATCCCGTGGGAAAAATTAATCGATAAAAGATATATCACCCCTCCCCTTCCGTTGCCGCAATCGCGCGCGAGACCTACCGTTTTCGATGTGTATAATATGTCGGTAATATATTGCTATTCCACTGCATTTATCGGCTAGACAAGTAGGCGGGACGTTGGATAGATAAGTTTTTGCCATGCACGCTCTTCGATCAGTGTAATTTAGGAGTTATGGCCGCGATAAGTCGAATGTAAAAATACACTCGTCGTTCTCCGGTTATTCCGGCGAGTTCTAACGTTGACGTTCTCGTCTCGTATCGATCTACTAACGAGAGCTGTACCGGAAAATGTCAAGCGCATCAGTGGTGGTAACAGCAGCAGCAGCAGCAGCAGCAGTAATAGTAGGAGTAGTGGTGGTGATGATAGTAGTATGGTGGTAGTGGTGGTCGTCGTCGTCGTCGTCTGACGTCCGTTACTCCGCCGTTCCGCGGCGAAAGCCAATAAATTAATTGGATTGACCATCGTGACTTGTCGCATACAAATCGGATCAGCGATTCCGCTGCGATCAGCTGTTCGCTGATTCGCGTTAACTTCGCTCTTTCGTTCAGCGTTAACACGCCAACCAGGGCTGAAGGTGGTTTACTCGTATTACGTTCGTTTAAATATAAAGAAGTCACTTGCGAAGGACAGCTCTCTCTGTATGTATGCGTGCGTATGTACGTGTGTATGTGTGTGGTCTGCTACGACTTCGTCGAGTCGCGCGCACGAGTCCCGAGTCGTTTAAAGATATTGCACGCCGGGCGCACAAATCCTCTCCGTAATTCGAACGTACACGTGCGATAACGCGTCGAGAGAAGTCCGACTCGAAGCCGGGGATTAATAAAACACGTTGCGGTGAGCACGCGGTAGCTACAAGGTTTCCCGTACACCACTGCACGCTTAAAACGTATCGTTCAACGCGCGTTCTATTCCTCTTGGAGCATCGGCTGTTTCTCCACGAAACGCAGGAATAAGGTGCGAAGCCTGAGAGGCGAACTGACTTCTCATGAAGGAGACACGGTAATTCTGTGGAGGGCGAGCTTTCAAGACGAGATATATTATCTGGAGCGAAATGCTCGCGCCGTTCTGTGTTACCGGACTGTCAGACGCCGGCCGTGTGTCATCCGATCGTGTCACGAGCGATTAGCGCGATAACGCGCTCACAAGTTGATTCTCACTTTACGAGTTCGGGCACGATCTTCATTATACGCAGGGTCGCCCCGGCGAATCGTTGGCGAGTTCCCGCACGAAACACCGCGATTCCGACATTCTTCGGCCGTCATGGAATCTAGATCGTGCGACACGACGCTACGATCGGCCGCCGGCGGGAAAGAGAGAAAGGGGGTGCGACACAGAGAAAGGGAGAGAGAGAGAGAGAGAGAGAGAGAGAAAGAGAGAGAGAGAGAAGGAGAGCTATTCCGGCTTTTACGAGGCCATAGTGGCGTATCCGTTTTGCGGGGCACGACGTGCAAAACGATCGATAACACGCTCGTAACGTTATTACCAACAGGTATACGGAGGTGGGTAGCACCGGTACTACCGGTAATAATGTGGCTTTTACGCTCGTGGGCGCGCTGATACAGCAGCCGCCAAAGTCAGCCGACGTATACGGATACACACCACATTCGAGCGACGGCGTTCGTTCTTTTTTTTCCTTTTTCTCACTTGACATCATCTTGTACATATCGATTGTCAGGAGTCAAACGAACAACGAAGCTCCGCGAATATAACGAATGAGAAGAAAGAAGGAAAGAGAAAGAGAGAGGAATAGCACATTCGCGCGTCTCGAATCTTTTTGCGATAATGTTGACATATTTTTGAGGGATGGGCAGCATCCTCGTCGAAGATAACGTTTTATACGATACCGCTTCTCTGTGTACATACGCAGGAAATATTGTAGTAAGAATTACGTTAAAATTAGATCTCTTCATACAATGCATTTTGCAAAGCTACTGGACTCTACTGAAATTGTAATGTAAATTTCTATAGAAATAATCTATTTGACGATCTATCTTGTATACACACGATATAAAAAATATTCAGGTAATCGCGATAATTTTGTATGGTAAAGAGCCAGCGTGACATTTTTAGATATATATGTGTACGTATGATTCGGGTATGGTAAAGATGTACGAAAGTTTGGTTGCAATTTTTACTACAATATTTTCTTCGTGTACTACTAACGACGTCGAAGGACATCACGACACGTCGTTGCATTAATGGTCTCTCTTTGTGTTGCAGGGTCCACCACAGCCTGGTCAAGGCTTCAAATTTTCAATCAACGACTCTTGCGACCGTATTAAGGAGGAATTCAACTTCCTGCAGGCCCAGTACCATAGGTATCTTTCTTTTTTTTTTCACTATTCCCCCAAGTTTGTCCTCGTAAGCCGCGGTCAATCGAAGACGTATGCCTCAACTTTTCTGAACGAGACTGGTTACCGTTTCGTCTCGTCTCGACGACGACGAGAATGATGATGACTAGTCGCTTCCAACGCGAGATCTCAGAAACCCATCCATTAAGTTTCCTGGTCCCATTGCTGCGGAACCGTGGATTGATGACGTCAGAGGCGAGAAAACGCGTGCCAAAGATTCTCGCGTGCCACTTTCAAACAAAAAGGTACGAAGGAACACTTGAGACAGTCAATTAATAGCCTGAAGATTAACGTGACACGCAACCTTCCTCTTCAACTATATTTAACCTTTTCTCATGATTTCGCCATGTTCATTTCATTGATTGATCGCCAAGGGAAAAAGGATAGTGCTCAGAACATTTTACAAGTATGCTCGGCGGCGGCGATCTCAAGTGTTCCTTCATACAGATATCTCTCTATTAGAAAATGGCACTCGCGAGAATTCTTGGCATGCGTTTTCTCGCCTCTGACGTCACAGTTGCGCAGCAGCGATTGGGAACGCCTTAATAAGCGCCATGTATAAGAAGCATGCGTCTTGGCTGGTCGCGGTCGTCGTTATCGATGTGAATTTTTACGAGAAACTTTTTCTAGAAACCGAAACGTACGTCTCGCGGCCTCTAAAAATAGCGAGAGATAACGCGACAAGAGCAAAGTCTATATCGGTGCGACCTGCTGCCCCCACTCCCACGCCCTCTTCCCCGAGAAGCTCGCGCGCGACCTCATAGGCCCGACAAGATCACCCATCCGCCTCCTCGGCTTCTCTCCTCCGTGTTCCCGGCGAAAATATTCGGGTCGCGGTTACCCGTACGCGATATAAATTCCGCTGTTCTCTCGGTTATTAGTTTGTCGAACGGAGTAAACGTTCGTGCCGGTCGACAGGGCCGTATCCATTAGGCGCTCGTGCAAATATCGCGCGAGCGAGCGCGCGAAATGCACGGACTGTGGACGCATGGACGGACAGTCGGACGGACGGCGAACGTAGGCAGATAATTGTTTGTCTGACCGGAAGCTGTGCACACCGAAGTATGCACACGGAGAAGGAACGAAGACCCTGTTTGGATAGCGCGCGCACGTGTTCGATGCGCGGCCAAGCGGCGCACGCGTTCGTGATCGCGGCGTGAACGTTTTCTCCGAGATACACACACACACACGCGCGCGCTTCTCACTATATACTCCGATTCGGCAAGAGTCGCGCTCAGACCTAGCGCGGATTCACTCGACCGTTCAATTTGCGCCCGCGTCCTGCTAGAAAACGTCTCTTCTTGCCTCTTCTTCGGCTCTCTCCTCCGTCTCTCCCACTTTTCCGCGAGAGCCGATTATGGGAAATACGGGAAAATGAGAGAGTAATTGAAAGGGCGGTATACGGATCGGATCGGTTGGGTGTGCATTAGCGAGCGAGTGAATTTAATCGCACGCGCGCGTGTTCGGAAACACTTTGACGAAAACGAGTATTCATAAATATCGCCACTCGTCGATTGGGAGATTAATCGTGGAGGCGCAAAAATATACGCGCGACCCGCGCGGTGAAACTGTACGCGCGCGTTATAGCAGTCGCATGGTTTAAGCGCGCAACGTGATTCCCGATAAATCGTCCCGTAAATCGTTACGCCGCGTCAATCCGAAATAATTAATCGACTCTGTACGCGCGTGCGAGAGAGAGAGAGAGAGAAAATCATTACTTGCGTACGCTCGCGCGCGCGTTCGCGATCGTTAATACCCTGCTAATTTATCGCCTTAGAGGTGAGATTGCACCGCGCCGTATATAGTCGCGTCCCTCGATTCGCCTTTCACGAATATTAAACGCGCCGCATCGGAATTACCGCGCGCGGGCGCTCTACCCTTTTTCTCCTCTGCAAATCGAATTAAATGGCGTCGTGTATCGGTCGAGAAAAAGGAGAGGAGAGGGAATTTCACCGTGGAAGGAGCTGTAACGTTATTATTATTGCGAGCCAACCTCCTCCTACTGCCTCCCCCGCACCCGTCTCTTTCTATCCTCTGGCGCGCTGACTCAATAGCGGAAGATTCGTAAAAACCGTCTTTACTTCGTTCGTTATCGCTCGTTGAACCTTTTTACTGTAACGGTACGATGACGGCTCGCCGCTTTATTTTCCTACTCTTTCTCTCTCTCTTTCTCTGTCTCGCGCGTTCGCTACCACGAGCCCCGCGTTTTTAACCGATACGTCGCGACGACAGTAGGACGAGCGGAGAGACAATGGCTCCGCGATTTCGAGGGCTGGTGGATATTAATGCTCTGTTCTTGTTCTTCTTATACAGCCTTAAATTGGAGTGCGAGAAACTGGCCAGTGAAAAAATAGAGATACAGAGGCATTACGTGATGGTAAGCCGGGGGAGAAAGATGAGAACGTAGAAAGGGCCAGCGCGTTACACACACACACACACACACGCGCGCGCGCGCACACACGCACATTCACACACAAGCACGCACACGCATATGGCCATACACAGACCACATGAATCATCCCGCCGTTGTTCCCAGATTAAAATGCATTCGTTCTCGTCGCGCGCACGGATACGTGAGATATCGCTCGGCCAGCGCTCGAGCTGTTTTAATTTTCGCGAAATTGCGAGGAATTATGATCTGAACGTAAGGGAGAGAGTCGGACTGGGAGGGAACGGGAGCAAGGGGAAATTATTCAAACGCCACGATCACGTCGAGATCAATTTTCCGAATCGCGCGAGCGCGCGCTCTCGCGAAATTAAAAGGAAAGCGGTCGTCCACGGACCAGGCGCGAATCTCCAAAGTGCGCGCGAGTGTGTGGACGCTGTCAGAGGTAATTCCGTGGTCGTGCGCGTCGAATGAAAGGGAGAGAGAGAAAGAAAGAAAGAGAAGGGGTTGGGCGTTGGGAAAAAAAGCCCTGGGGAAAATTATCATCGCCGGCCGAGCATCGCGGTGCGCGCTTGGTCGCGGCCGCGCTCGCCGAATATACTGGGAACACGGTAGAAACACGAATCACCCACGCGCGCATACACACACACACGGAGGAACGCATCACCCATACTATCGCATTATCGTAGGTATACAGTCGCGGTACGACGCGACGCGCTCGAGCGTTACAGGCATACGAACGCATTCATTTGCCGGCGTACAAGCGGTTTTGTCGGCCACCGCCGTGCGAGATTATTTTCCCACCGCCGCCGGAGCGAACGCGCTAAACAAAAATACGACGCGGCTTGTCGTCGTTAAAAAAGTTATCGCCACCGCGGACGGGTCTTTGTCCCTGGCTGATGTCGACCGAGCGGGTAACGCGCTCGGCCAAGTGAATATTAATACGCGCTTTAACGCGTCT